CCCGGCCTAACTACGGGAAGCCCGTAGCCTGGTATAACGCGAGGTATCAGGATGCGCCGTCCCAGCAACCGGGAAGCCCGGCATAACCATGGGTAGCCCGTGACCTGGTGTAACGCTAGGTATCAGGGTGCGCCGTCCCAGCAACCGGGTAACCCGGCGTAACTACGGGTAGCCCGTAGCCTGGTGTAACGCGGTATAGGTTTCGGATCAGGAGTTTTACTAGGTAGGGATCGGGAACTGATAATGCTATGCTCGCCGGAGCGCCTTATATACCGGCGGCCGGCCTCCCACTTGCGCGATTCAACGTGTGGTGGGGTGGTCCCTACGGTGGGGCCGCGACACGGGTGTGGGAGCTTAGGGACGCCATAAGCGCCGAGCCTAGAAAAGCGCGTGGTGGAACGGCCCGCTAGGCCGTTAGTAACGGTATCGTTACACCGTCAACTAAGATTCCATAGTGACTCAAAAAATCTGCACCTAATATAGGTCTCTGAATATCCGCAATGCAAAATTTCCAATTAAAAACTCTTCGTAGTCCAAGATTTAAAGTTAACGTTTTTATACCGTAGGTATTAATCCTGGTTACGTTAGCTGCATAAAGTTTGAAAGAAGAAACTTGAGCTTTTTATACAAATTTTTTTGAAATCAGAAAAATGTCAGCTCCTGTATCAACAAAAAAATTAAGCCCTGAAGATTTATCAGTTATAATGAAGCGTTTGTAAGGTGAACCGTTGTCAGCCGCTTCACAACTCAACGGTGGAGCTAGTTTTCCTGCTTTTCGACCAAAGATTTAGACATGTTACAAGGTATTGTACATTTATGAGCTTTAGCACCAAATTTTTTGTGATAAAAGCAAATTTTTTGGTTATCTTTATCAGATTTGTTTCTAGAAAATGATCTAAACCTTCTTTTTTCTTTGTATCTAAATTTTGATCTACTGCGTACACGTTTTACTTCTAGAGCTGCGATTCTACGTTCGAGATCAGCAAGATTCGACGTGTTTTTCTCCACAGGGAAAGCTATTGTCGCTACTTGAAGGTTAGTTTCACGATCCAAATTTTATCAGTTAATTCAGCAAGCTTGATTAAAGAACAATATTCTACAACCGCTAAAGTGGCTTGAACTTGAGAAGGTAATCTTTGCAACCAAATAGAATGTAATACATTTTCTGAAATTGCTCCTCCCGCTAATTGTTTAATTTCGCGTAACAATTCTGACTGTTTTTTGTCATTCAACTCTATACCAGCTAATAATTGACGAAGACGTTTTTCTTCCAAATCGGTAAACCGATTAATTAAAATGTTTTTAACATGAAGATATTAATCTTTCTCAGGAGGAACCTTCCTCACAAGGAACCTTCGGCAACGCAAAAATTTAAAAAAATCTGAAACTTTGCATAATTATAGAGTAGTAGTCCCTAATAACGAAACGATTTTTTGTTGGTGCTAAAAATCAGTTTCAGGGATGAAAACAACCCCTTAGAAAAAAACAGTTTTTACATTCCAAAGCGAATATTATTGAAACAAAAAGAAACATGAAAAAATTGTTTAAACAAAAGTTTTATGGTTTCAAATGTACTTTAATATAATTTGAAATTTTTTTCAAAATATCAAAGAAAAATATTAAGGGTAGGAATATTTCGAAAAATTTAAAATCCAGATACGCCATTGTAAAGTACATTTGAAACCATAAAACTTTTGTTTAAACAATTTTTTCATGTTTCTTTTTGTTTCAATAATATTCGCTTCGGAATGTAAAAACCGATTTTTTCTAAGGGGTTGTTTTCACCCCTAAAACCGATTTTTAGCACCAATAAAAAATCGTTTCGTTATTAGGGACTACTACTCTATAATTATGCAAAGTTTCAGATTTTTTTGAATTTTCGCGTTGCCGAAGGTTCCTTGTCAGTGATAGCTAATAAAGCTTGCTCATCAAGGTGCCGTATAACCGAGCTATACTTAACATCGTCAGAGCGGATCCGAAAAACTAAGAATTCGCTTTTCAGCTGAGCAAACCACAATTTAGGCAGCTTATGCCAAAAATTCGGCAATTTAAAGACGAAATTTTAAGGCAAAATTCATTAGAATGGATCTCATTTGGCTGACCTTGTTGATGCGGTTCATTACTGGTAAGAGATTGTGAAGGATTCGTCAGATGTTGATGATGTTCTCCAGTTGATGGAACTGATGCTGACGTTGTAGGAGTCGCAATTGGAGATCTGTCCAAAGGCATCGTAAAATTCTGTCGATGTTCTGCGTTGTGAAGTTCAGAAGTCTAGAAGATCGCTGTCCTTGGAAATTCGATGACTCGAAAATCTCGTTGACTCGAAGATCACAAGACACAAATCACACAAGGATCACAACGGAACTCGGAACTCGTCGGCTCACAGCACTCACGGATTACTGATTTAAATTTGCCGCGCTTGAACGTGAATTCTCAAAAGCCCGTCATCACGTCGGGGTCACCAGTTGTGGGAGCGATATAGTTAAATAACTAGACTTACTATAATATAAAATATCTAATATTCAAGAACGATGTTTACAGGATGATGGACAATAAACGAATGAATAAATGTTTCACAATTTGTTGTATGTTTTTAATGTTGTTATGTAAAATGTTTAATCAATAAATGAGATGTGTGAAAATACCGTAACATTAAGCCCGTATCAGACTACGCATTGAAGATTGAGATTGAAGGGTTAAGATTAAAATTTGACCAATCAGAATAAAGAAATTTTAGTCGCTTTTGTTCTGATTAGTCAAATTCCAATCTTTAATCTTCAATCTTCAATTTTTAATGCGTAGTCTGATGCGGGCTTTACTGTAGTCTTACATTGTAATATTTCTAAGGGCGGACATTTCAACGTTGCCGCAGGCTTGCAGTAACATTGCAGAAACATTTCGCAACTTGCATGCAATATTACAATGTTTCAATGTGTAACGATGCATCTCTCCATCGTTACCCGGCCGCCGATCCGCCGAAAGTTCGCCGCC